GTTACAAATATTGCTTAGAGCTGTATGTTAGCGATGATAAAATATTCATGAATATTAATATCTGTACGGTTGTATTCTTCCATTAGAAATCACATATTTTGGATTTTATTTTGTTAAATGTAGCATTGTATATATATATATATATATATATATATATATATATATATATATATATATATATATATATATATATATATATATATATATATATATATATATATATATATATATATAAAACTTAGTATCTTATATAACTTAGTATCTTCCGTCAGAACTTATATAACCGAGTCTCTGCCATCATAATTTATTTTATACCACTTAAAGTCTCCAAACCATCAGTATTCTCATTTCTTTTATTTCTTTGATTTCGTATCGTGGGGAATAGAAGAAGAATCAAAAGTACTGGACATGCTGAAAACATAACAAAAATAGTATGTAATATTTTTTTATTAATTTTAAATATGAAAATGGTTCAATATGAGCTAGTCTTCAAGTTTTTTTTCACTATTTGATTGCTAGGCTTTAAAAAATTAGGACCTTATGGAAAAATCGCTAAATGAAAACCTGATATTAATTAACATTATTTTTCTTAAAGTTTATGTATCTTCTTAAGATCTATACAAGTTCGTCTTACGATTACTCCAGCTGGCTCTACGGTCGGTCTCGTTCACCCTACGATTACTTCAGCTGGCTCTACAATTACTCCAATTGACCCTGCATTTACTTTAGCTGACCCTATGATTACTCCTGCCGACAAGACGATTATTCAAGCAGACACTACGATTACTTCAGTTCACCCTACACTCTCTCCAAACTACGATTACTTCAGCTTACCCTACGATTACTGTTTCACCCTACGACCCCTTCAAGCTCACCCTACGATTGTCAACTGACCCTAAGATTACTCCGGTTCGCCCTACGATTACTTAAGTTCACCCTACACTCTCTCTAATCTCACCTTAGAATTACTCCTGATAAACATACCATTTAGTCCGATAAATGTACCCCTCACCCTCACATGTGTTGATATTTACAGACGATATGTGGATCTGATGTCACCGGTTATTTAAACGCGCCGCATGCAACTCTTTTCGGAGTATGTATGTATGTATGTATGTATGTATGTATGTATGTATGTATGTATGTATGTATAAGAGAGCGCCAGTTCAGTAGGAGGATAACGTTGCGCCACTTTTCTTTAGAAAGGTAGTGACGAATGGGATAATAAGGGATAATGAAAGAGGGAAGAGGTAGAAGGGTGAACCACATGGAAAAATATGAGTGTCCTGCAGATTTGTGCTCTGTTTCTTGTATTAAAATATTTTTTTTACTTTCTAATAGGATGTTCCAATATTCACGAGCTAAAAGATAAGAGCGGCGATAATAGTTTTTCTATCCGATGCCATTACATTCTAATTATTCAACATGGGCTATACCGAGTGGGGAAAAATGAAAAGAAAATGAAAAAAAATTAAAAAGAAAACAAAAAAAAAAAAAACAAAAAACAAAACAAACAAACAACAAAACAACAAAACAAACAAAACGAAAACCAAAAGAAGAAAAATAAATAAGTAAAAAAACTGGTTCTATATTGCGCTGTAATACGTTTTATCTATTTATGTACTAGTTTTTGGTCAAATTTGACACGTACAATAGTGAAAGCGAGTCAGTCTAATATCAAGGAGTATGTGTCAATATTCAGTACACACGTTCCATATTTTACCATCTAAGCTAACAATGCAGACGGGCATTTCTATTGTATCGTCCAGGGTCATGATTAGAACAGGTTAGATAGACCAACGCGAATTAAAAAAAAAAGAAAGATACAAAAGGTCTCTACATAGACATGCAATATTTTCTTCTATCTGAGCATATATTATCTACATGTATTGCGTTCCCCGTTCAGTTATGTACCGTACGTTGAATAAATACGAATAAACAATATATTGTTCAGAGTATTACGATGCTGGTTATTGACCGAGATCAATTCGCCCACGGTAGGTCCGAGAAAGTTCGTGTATAACAATAATAACTAAAAGCGATCATTCTTTTCAAGGAACCAATGTTATTTGCTTTTGATGTTGTATGATTATATAGAGAAGGAATATATTGTGATTTCATTGTTATAATTGTTACCACTTTTCTAAATCTGCAAGGATGCTATGTAATCGTGGCTCATTAAGTATAGTGGTGGTCACTGTTAAATTTTCAAGACTGAAGAAACGGATCATTTAATTCTTTCGGGAAGAGATATTTTTTTCGTGATCTCGAGAATTTTTTTTGGACGAAGTGACATTATTCGAATGATTTTGAACCCCCCTTTCTTCACAATAACCGCGTTAATTTAACAATTTTGCTTCCACAAACTTATCGGGGGAGGGGATGCGGCGCGTTATATATGGGCAAAGGACTGAGGGATGGAACTCCTGGTTGGGGACCAAGGAAACTCATGCATAATTTTAAATATCTAACAGTAAAGAAAACGTACACTCAGACACATTCCGGTTGTTTCTCACACACTTGTTTATTTTAAATTTGGAAGAAAAAAAAATGATGGATATTTCTGCTTACCACCACGCCCGGATTTGGAATTATAGTTGACACAGTTAAAAATTAATACCCCCTCCTCAAACAATAGGCAGTGGTTCTGTGATAAGCTCTTCAATCTGCCAAGGTTGCTTCGTTTTAAACCACTAGCGAAAACCCACGACGCTTCATTTTTAAGAAAAGACCATCACTGATCTTCGCCTGTGGCTTTCGACTACAGAAGGATTGCAGGACGTATGCACTTAAAGTTTTCAATAAAATAGTTGTGAATATTTTGTTCCATTTTTGTGTGTGGTATATGCCTTTCACAACACTAATACATTTTTGTGCATTCGATACCTTAGACAAGCTCTAGAAAAATATTTTTGCTCTGATTTATAAGTAAAAACACGAACAACAACCAAAGGAAAAAAAAAAAGAAAAAGAAAAAGCCCGCTTAGCAATTCTCACACCTGCTAATCAATATAATACACCGTTTGACTGACCATCACCACACGTACTAATAAACGTAGCGGTAAGAGAGTAGTCCTAACTCGGAACACATATTTTTATGATTTTTATTCGGGCACAAACGAATATCGTCGGGGCGTGGGTGTATTCGGGTGTCAAAGAATTGTATAAATCAATTTCTTTTTTAAATACCTTAACTCAGGTTTCGTTTCTTGTGTACAACGGTACCCGAGGGTGATTGATGTATATTCAAAATTACATCACAACAGTGAGTTTGGTTCATTTTATGCCGCACGCGTGAAGTGCTTTCGATTTTCGATGGGAAAACATGAATACATGAATTGCACAAACGATTTAAGGCTACATTGTCTGTGTATAAATGCCTCACAGTAAGATCAAATCGACACATTACGGAATGTTTTGTCAGTCGGCGGTATACTTAGAGACCTGCAAAAATCCAGCTGTAAGTTATTTATTCATTTCTTATGTGTATTATAAGTTATAGCTATTTAACTATCACGTCTTATTTTTCGTATTTCTGTAGCTTCGAATAAAGGAGTATAATGCTAATATTTTCTATTCTTGTCTGTTTCTTGGCAAGAACTTTGCAAAGTTGCATTTTAGTTAAGAAACGTTTAGTGTTATATGAATCGTATGATTCACAGGTTCACTTCTGAACCTGTTTGTTTTGTAATGCAGGACTGATAATGTATTTTTTTATAACTTAACGTATATAACGTCATTACGTGTTACCGTAGATACCCGTGTCATGCATAATACACGGTTTTGGATATCTTTTGCAGCTGATGATGATGGGAGCTGATCCATGGTGATCAGAGCTGACCATGGTGATTAGAACTGACGGTGGCAGCAGTGGAACTGATCCATGGTGACAAGAGCTGACGGTAGCTATGGAGTTGACCGTGGTTGTCAGGGTTGACGAGGTACCAGCTAAAGAGATAACCATGAAAGTTGACCATAACGGCTGTGGTACTGGCCATAGCGGCTGTGAAGTTGATGATGGAGCTGCCAACGGAACTGTTTGGACGGCGGCTGTGCAGCTGAGCGAAGTGTGTTACGGGTCAAGTAGTAGATGATCGGGCGTTGCAGACCAAAGTGGTAGGCGCTAATTGCTTGTTTGACCTAGGAACGAATGGTGGTCGGTGAATACCAGTAACCTTTGATTGTTTGGCCAGTGTGACTGGTAGCAAAGTGTAAGGTTGAGGGAGTGTTTGTTTTGCTCCATTCATGAAATCTTTAAGCCGTAGGCTAATTTCGGGGTCCAGTTCTATCCAGTGTTTAGGAATTTAAGAGATATCTTGCGATATCTGCCTTATTATCGTTTTACTATTTGAGTAAAATATCAGTTCACTATTTTGAGTGAGTAAAATATCAGTTCACTATTTTGAGTGAGTAAAATATCGGTTCACTATTTTGATTGAGTAAAATATAAGTTCACTATTTTGAGCAAGTAAATAAGTTCACTATTATGAGTGAATACTTTGTTTTACTAATTGAGGAAAATATCAGTTCACTATTTTGAGTGAATATTTCATTTGTTTTGCAGTTATATATAACTCATTCTTTGCATTATGTGATATACCGTGAATAGTTCTTTTTTTTTGTCTTCGTAATGTATAAGGTCATATATTTGTATTTGTTGTTTGAGTAGCTTCGTGCGAATTGTTAATTCGTCCAATTTTTGGACCCATACACGCACGTGCCATATTTCGTTTCTTATTCAAATCATACATCATTAAAAATTGTATTTTTATTTTCATCAACAGTGTTCTGTTGTTAATCCGAAATCCAAACTCGGTTATCTAGTTACAAAACGGTTGTGGGATAAACATCTGGTAGGAGCCCCGTTAAGTTCATTGCATTTTTTTTAGAGTTTCCAGTGCATAATTTTATCCCTCTGATTGTTCTTAGGGCTAATATTGCATCCATGCAAACTTGCCAACGAGAAACCTTGGCTCAAGTTGCATCATTCCACACCACATAACTACTCCGGTGGCCTAGTGGTTAGAGCGTCCGCCTCAATTGCGGGAGGTCGTTGGTTCTAGTGGGTTCTATCCCCGGTCGAGTCATACCAAAGACTTACAAAAATGGTACTAACAGCTGCCTCGCTTGACGCTCAGCATTTAAGAGGTTAGTGTTAGGACTGGTCGGCCTGGTGCCAGGATAATGTGACTGGGTGGAACATCATGCTATATGTCTGCTTCATGATGCCCCAGTGTTAGACATCCCTATAAACTGTCACACTGCGGACATCGTAGCGATGTGACTGAAACTTGTTAAAGCTACGTTAAAAATAATAATCATAATTATAATGACATTCCACACCATAGGCGAAAAGCCACTGAGCTTTCGTTTCGGGAAAGGACCATAGCAGATCGATGCCAATGTTTTCGATCATGCCTGGGATATAGGACACGTTCACGGGCCGTTTACAATATTTTAGTCGTGAATATTAGTTCCATTTATACGTGTGCTGTATGATCATAAGAGCAAAGTATAACATTTCTGTATTTGTCATACTGTAGACAATCTCTAAAGAAATATTCATTCTCTGATTTAGAGTAACAACAACAATAACAACATAAAAGTAAAAAATATGCAAAACATAAAGTCAAAATATAGGCAACGATTGAATAGTATGTTTCTGTTTTGGAGACAAAGAGGATGACCTGAAAACTGTCGTTAGGGTTGTAAAAACAGATAGTTAGCACTGCCGGTACCGCTTCACTGATCCTCGTCGCAAGTTTCTCTGCACTACAGGTCCAAATACCATTCGTTTGAGGTAGCATGCATTTCTATGTACGCTCTTCTCTTCCAAAGAGCAGTGTTTGTAATTTTGGTGATGACCCATGATGACTTCACATACTTAACATAGTTTGGCTCAAACAGAATTCTTGCAAAGATCTAATGTTATTTAGTTCACATCCTTATTTGGCTTGATAACAGATTACACTAGAGCGGTAACGGTAACAGTTAGGAAATTATAGTCGTATATGCAACTCCAGGCCTGAGCAAACGTGCTTCTATATATATATATATATATATATATATATATATATATATATATATATATATATATATATATATATATATATATATATATATATATATATACACATACATACATATATATATATATATATATATATATATATATATATATATATATATATATATATATATATATATATATATATATATATATATATATATATATATATATAGAGTTTACAGGCGGATAGAAAATGATAAGGAAGTCCCATCAACAAGATTGCTTTAACATCATTAATCTGGGTTTGTTTTCTATCTTCATATCACAATACGGCTGACGCATGTCTCATGTTCGACACATATTTACTCAAAGGTTTTCTACGATTGACAAGTGCTTAACAGCGAGTTCAGTATACCAATGAAATTTACTTTATACGCCGCCTTAGAACATTAAAACCAAGCGGTTTAAACCAAGAAGACTAGAAAAAGACATCCATGAACAAATAAAATTATTGTTTGTAGCCGACACATTTTCTTTAAAAATTCTCTAAATTTGCTTTAATGCCTACAATTGCTACTACAACAATGAAATATCCGTGATGTAATTTGCTCGTACATAATGTACACAAAATAACAGATGTAGTTATTGCTCATCGATTATAGGTTAATACAAATACTTTCTAGTATGCGCAACAAGTTGATAAAAACTAGTTGAAACATAATACATTTATATGTTTAATTCATGTAGAAACAGCCATGTAAAGTTTTACAACTACTACAATTTTTGTTTTATTTGTTTGTTTTGTCTATGTCTTGTATATACCTTTGAAAGTCGAAAGCGCCCAAGCTAGTTAGATACTAGTTTTGCACTGTTCGGTGTCAGTTTATTGCTTTATTGCATTTATCTTAATCAGTCCCTGACACACGTGATCTCTTGCTGGATCCAGTGCACTTGAAAAGACTGTTATTCGCCATATTAATTATATTATTTAATATATATATATATTATATATATATATATATATATATATATATATATAATATATATATATATATTATATATATATATATATATATATATATATATATATATATATATATATATATATATATATATATATATATATATATGCACGAATGTGGAAAGTGATTTATCTGCCATAATTACTGTTTGAAGCAGAGGAGCCTGTGAAACCAACTTCTGGCAAGTATTCATGTCATGACATGTAGTGCGAGAGGTTATCTGTTTGACTAAATACCATAAAAATAAATCTTTTGTTGCATTTATTCCAGTCACAGTAATAAGTTGATATACTTCCATTAGGTTATCATACTCAATTTCATGTCGGTCCCGGAAATACAAAAACATTGGGATAAGGCGGTGCAAATTAGTGAGACAAGCAGATACCTTGCGTAGCATTCGGTACTTATGCGATGATGGCGATGTAATAGCCGATAGTTTTCTTATACGAGACCTAACCAATACAATATGTATAGATCTCATAATGTCACCCACTAAAAGTAAAATGAAGTCCATGAAGTACTATAGGAATAAATGATCATGGTTGGGTATTTATCGATGTGTAAATTTTACCTAATCACTTACAAAGTAAATAAAACCCGATGGACCTTTATGTAAACTTAGGGAGTGATTAGGTAACATGTACACACCGATAAATACCCAATATGATCATTTAATCCTTATCATTCTATCATACTTCCTTTATAACATCAGATTAGCATATTTAATGAACAAATGAAACAAATGAAAATATAAGTACATTTAAGTTTTCTTTCATTGGCCTGTTAAAGGTCAACACACTCCAACATTTTTCTGTTTACATCAGATTTGCATTGCATGATTAAAATTGGTTATACTCGCATAAAAAGAACAAAAAGTTATCAAGTGTAAAGAAGAAATGATAATTTAATTACTCGAAAAAGACGTATTACAACGCAGCTATTGCCACTTAGATACGATCTACCACCTATAGAAGACGCCAGCCGGAAATGACGTACATTTAATCCCACAAAACGATATACATGCTTCTTGTCGAAAAATAAAACATTATAAACCATGGATAGGGAACATTTAGATGAAACTGCTGATAATTAATTTTGCTGTTCAGCTTCATATCGATATGCGAGCACGACGCACTAGATTGTCGCTTTCTAAACTGATCCATTGTTTCAATTTATTTTTTATACAGGTAAAAAGGAATCAGCGTTGGCTTCTCTATTTCAAAAAAGGAAAATCGACACACTTAAAAGAATCCAAAGGAACCAAACTTGACTTCATTATGCTGGCCAACTTCATCAGAAAAATCGGCTTACTTAAAAGATGCCAAAGTCAGTTTTCGGTGTTGTTTGCTTTGTAACAAAATAACTTGTATCTGATGTCCTGTCGGTAAGTTTAAGGAAAGGGTTTATTGCTCGCTCCAAGTCGTGTTTATCCATCACCCGGGCTTCTATTTGTTGCCCGATGTGATCATAATTTATGTTCGCAGGACAAATAGTATACACAATAATAACGTGCTTTAATAACACTTTTGCAACCCATGCTAGCGAAAAGATTATCACCTGCTCTCACAGTGGATGTAGTTTAAAATAATGATTTTTATTTGTGACATTCTTTCGTATAGTTAACCTGGATACAATACAATCTTGGTCAGTTTGCACATTGTAACGTCATGCGTGAGTGGCAGGAGCCGTCAAGCAATCGAGTAATATTTTTGTCTCTTTTGTGATTTTGTTGTTTGACATACGGGATACACACTACAGCAAGGACACACACCCAAATGGCATCCCCTACATACGCGGAGTTCGTGGGTATATTTTTTTCTTTAATAAATTTCGCATAATGAAAAAAGAAGGAATAAATGATAATGCAAGGTTAGTTTCTTTCATTTTATTTTTAAATAAGTGTATGTTTATCATTTGTTTGGTTTTTTTTTTTTTACAAAATTAACATAAAAATTAATTCCTATCTTATTTGTATGGAATAATAGAGCAAATATGATTGACAATCTTGACTAGTAGTGACAAGCTTTTAATTTACGCGCGCGCACCCTAAGACAACTTAAACAATAAAAACAATAAAATCAACTGATAAGAGCTTCCTATTGTAGAAACATTGATTGTTGTTGTGCTTAACGCTATTTTTCAGCTATTCATGGCGGCCAGTATTAATGGTGGAGGAAGAAAACGGGAAATCACCGGAAAGAAGCACCGACCCAAGAGAAGCTACTGGCAAGCTTTCTCACATATCCACATTCGCCGAATCCTAGACTCGAACCCACGCAGACAGAGGTGAGATGGCAGTGATCCGTAACGGACAGCGCTTTAGACCACTTGACCACTCGGGGCCCCATAGAAACATTGACAAAATGATACCTATTGAAAAAGCAATAGCGAGGATAAAAAAATTCAAACTGTGATGGCAATATCCGTGGCCAATCCGTCATTAAAAATGCGGAAAATTCTGCCCTACCTACACCCACCATTAGTGACTAGCCTTCATAATTATCTGGGAAGCTGTTTGTATGGCTAGGGAATCAAAATGGCGAACATGTAAGTGCTGTTGAGTGTTTAGGCCCGTTCAAAAGTAACAAAGAAAAGAGTGAAGCCAACAAGCTTTGTAAAATTTAACAAAATAATTTATTTTCCGGTGAGCCTCAGGACCTTTGTGCCCCACCCCTCCGGGAATTTTGCGTTAGTTGCCCACCCTCTCAGTGACCGTGTACGAGTTTGTACATCAATATCCCCAAGACTGCCAACATCGTCAGTCAGATTTACAGTCTAAACATGTTTTATTGCAATAGCTGTCAATGTACGTATTAAATCTTCATGAAACTTAATTCTTATGTTCCTTGTATGATTCCTAAAGTTTGTCACACTTGCCTTTTTCATATATAAAAAATAACACGAATGACTTGGTTATTAAAGATTAACCCAGTGCAAAATATGGAGAGGGAACATTTCTGAGAATGGACATTTTGGAGAAAAAAATTCGGGATTGTGAGTAGTGAAGTCAGAAAGTGAAAAGTCGAATTCAGATTCAAGTGGAATTAACAAGAAT